GCTCTCAAAAGAAATTTCAATTGTTGTACTGGTGATATTTGGCTCTGTTGATTAATGAGTTTGGTGACCACTGGTCTAGAACAATAGCATTGAAAGATCAAACCTGCATTCATCCAACAAAGAGAGGTTTCCTGAGCCTGGTTTGCACAGAGCAAAGATACCGTTGGTCTCTGACCTAAACAAAGCCAGTCTCAACAATTTTAGAAGCAGCATGAGAGTGGGTTCATATGATCCCAGGCTCGAGAGGAACAGGGTCATAGCTTGTCACTTAGGCCATCTTCACACACACACACAGATAAAGTCAGTGTCAGCAGCAGCATCTTTAAAGAGCAGCTAACATCCTGTTGTCTTTGGCTGCTTTTCTCACAGCCAGTTATCTCACGGTGCCAATTTCCTCAGCATATTTAAAGGGTTGCTGTGTAAGCATATACTTCACATGGTACCACATTTTCACAATCTTGAAGGCCGTGAAAATTAGACCGTCAAAAATATGTTTCACTGGGGGAGTTCTATAAACCGCCCTAGCCCATATGGCTCGGTGGACAGAACATTGGCCCACAAACTGAAGGGTCACGGGTTCAGTTCTCGTCAAGGGCACATATCTCGGTTGCAGGTTCAATCCCCTACCCTAATTGGGGCACGTGCAGGAGTCAACAATCAATGTGTCTCTCACATTGATATTTCTCTCTGTCTCTTCCCTTCCCTTCCACTCCCTCTAAAAATCAATGGAGCCGAAGCCAGTTTGGCTCAGTGGTAGAGCGTCGGTCTGCAGACTGAAAGGTCCCAGGTTCGATTCCAGTCAAGGGCATATACCTTGGTTGCGGGCACAGTGTGCAAGAGGCAGCTGGTCGATGTTTCTCTCTCATCGACATTTCTAGCTCTCTATCTCTCTCCCTTTCTCTCTGTTAAAAATCAATAAAATATATATTTTTTTAAAATAAAAATCAATGGAAAAATATCCTCATGTGAGGATTAACATCTACAACAAAGTTCTATAAACCAAGAGTCCTATGATCAAGACGACTTAATTGCAAAAACCCATCTTCTGACCCTTTTCTCCAAGCTAAGTCTCTCTCATCTGAGCTCTCTCACTCACTAGCTCTAGATCCTGAAGTAAGAGTCTTAATTTGTCAGGATCTCAATCTCTTTTCTAATTGTTCTCTGAGGAACTTCCAAGATGTACACATCTATGAAAAAAAACATTAAATGGCTAAGTTCCGGTTGGTTTGTGATGGTTCCTAAGTCTATATTTAAATACTAATAATACAATGCAGATATATATATCCTATATAATAAAAGCCTAATGTGCTCAGTGTCTGGTTGTCTGGTCAGCTGTTCAATCTATCAATCGAAGTGTAATATGCTAATGATATGCTAAGGTCACTCAACCACTTGCTATGACATACACTGACCACCAGGGGACAGACAACCAGTTGACCATTCACTATAACATGCACTGATCACCAGGGGGAAGATGCTCTGACCGGAAGGTGAGTTTGCTGCTGGGGTCCAGCCAATTGGGACTAAGTGAGATGGGCCGGACACATCTTGGTACCCTCCTATGGTGCCTCCCGGCTGGCCAACCTCCTGCATCCCTCCCCAGCCCCAATCGTGCACCAGTGGAGTCCCTTGACCTGGCCTATGCCCTCTTGAAATCCAGGACCCCCTGGGGGTTTATCAGAGAGCCGGTTTCGGCCCAATCCCGCACACCAGGCTGAGGGACCCCACTTGTACACAAATTCATGCACTGGGCCTCTAAAATATATATGTTACATGCCATGCACAGTTTGGTTTGAAAGGAACAGACTCTTATCTATGCCCTGCACACCGCATAAATTCAATGCCTAAGTAAACAAATGAATGGGAATATGAAAGGTACCAGGGAGCGCGGTTGGGCATCAGATGGTAGGATAAGAGAGAAATGATAGCACAGAAACACTTAGATAGTAATGGAATGCTCCTGGCAAGGATTCATAATGTGGAAAGGCAGAAACAGCAACCAAAAAATATATAGTGAACCCCATCACTGGACTATTGGCTTCCTCTAAAAGCACCAATGCTTTGTTCAAGCCAAATTCTTCTGGGAAACTCTCAACTCCTATTTACTCTAAAACAAATGAAAAAAAGGAAAGAAAGAAAACAAACAAAACAGCTTATTCCTTGTAACTTAAAGCCCAGGGAAGGTTAGGAATCGTGGGAGGCAAAGAGATCCACTCAAATATACACACGTTCACAGAATCATGTCTGATGGGGGAGGTAATGAAGCACACAGAATCCCAGGACTGACAGGAAGTGGAATTACAACCACAAAAGCCAAGAACACAGTCAACAACTTAAAAAACTCCAGATGCACTCAGTTTATTGAAACTGAACACAAGTAGGGAGGGGGAAGGAGACCATGGGTGAGGACACGGACCTCAGGGGTATTCACGAAATCAGAGAAAGTCGCTGCTTACTTCACATCAGAACTTTGATAGCCATTAAGTATAAGAAAATCTTAAGCTTCCAAAAGGCAATCAAGCAATAAACCAAAATAGGAATGGAAACATTCAGAAAAGCTTGTGATGATTCTACAATAGAACAAAGATTTTTTTACACCAAAAAATTTACCTTCACATAACAGCCAAGCAGATGTGGAAAAGGACCTTTATTTATTTATTTATTTATTTATTTTCATCTAATAATGTTTTTAAAGTTGGAGTTACAGTCCCTATGTCCTCTCTTCAAACAGTTTACAATAATTCTAAGAGCTCTAAGCCCTTACCAAATCACATTTATTATGAAGCCTACTGTCAGGCCACCAAAAGGCAGTGAGAACAGGTACCAATCAGACATTCAACAATTATTTCTTGGAGGGGCAGAAATGAGGGAGACACTGTTGCTGTCCTCAAAGAACTTCCGGTCCATTGGGGGGACAGACACATGACTGGGTACCAGGCAACATGCCGGAACCACTGCAGACTATGAACAATGCTGGGGGTGGGGAGATTATCTTTGACTGGAGACTTAGAAAAAACTTCTCCAAAGGAGTGATACTTGACTTAGTCTTGAAAGATGTCATAACCTGTTAGGTATTTCAGACACAGGATAAAGCAGGTGCAAAGGCAAAGGATTTGGAAAGGACCTGGAGGTCCAGGGAGATTGTGTGGTTTGGTTTGGCAGAAAGAGGGTGAGAGGGGTAGGGAGACAATGACTACTAAGAATTCATAAAGGCAAGCTGAGAGACTACCGGGAAAGTGTATGTGTGAACAAAACACAGCAATATAATAGGAAAGAAACATAATGGAACACGTGCACAACATAACATGAAAGAGGAGACACAGGGGGCACTTTGTTAGACTAGGATTCCTAGAACAGACAAGGTCAAGGTGAGTCTTAGAACATAAACAGGAATGTGGAACGCAGGCAGGAGAATTTCCAAGCTGAAGAGCAGGCCTTACAGAGAGGCACAAGACACAGAGTGGTATAATTAGACTGCAAGGTTTAAGAAAGGAAACAGAATTCTAGAAAAGCCAGCTGGGGTCAGATCCTTAGAAGCTTGAAGTTATATCAGGTTTGTGTTGATGATTAAAACCTAAGGAGCCATTTATGGGTTTTATAAGACATAAATATATTTGCACTTAGCCCAGCTTGGCTCAATGGTTGAGCACTGACCTATGAACCAGGAGCTCATGGTTCGATCATCAGTCAGAGCACATGCCTGAGTTACGGGATCTGTCCCCAATGGGGGCATGCAGGAGGCAGTCGATCAATGATTCTCTCTCATCACTGATGTTTCTATCTCTCCCTCCCTCTCTTGTCCTCTCTGAAATTAAAAAAAAAAAAAAAAAAAGTTTAAAAATAAATAAATAAAAAGCTATCACAACTTCTTCTTTTCCTATATAATTTTAGGTCCTTTCTTATCTACCATCTTCTATTCAGTCTCAACACTTCCCTTGGTTCAGTGGCCCTAAAGTATAGGCTATTATGATAATCCATTGAAGAAATCAAGAATTATAATGGCTAGTTATAAATAGAACAAAAAAAATGTCTATTAAGTACACAATAAAGGCCAGGCATGTGCCAAGTGCTCTGCATGCACCGTCTCACTTGCTCTTCCTGGTACCCTGAGGAGGCAGTGCATCATCACTGCTGCTTCATAGCTGAGGAACCGGAATTGGTGCAATTTGCTGAAAATCAGAACATTAGTAAGGGGGCCAATGGGTCTCAGCCTACATCTCTCAGGCCCTACACCTGAAGGTCTTTGCTTTTCTGTTACCCTGCCTCCTATACAAGCCATGATTTGCTACTGTATTACTTGAATTATCCCCCATCTATGAGCCTGTTGCGTTTTACTAACAAAGCCTAACACCTGCTGAAAGCCTGTGTGACTTGACTGGCAATCACTACGAGTTCACATCCACGCAGGAAACAAATGCTACAGCACCACCACTAGTGGGTCAGTCAGCAACAGGCTTCCTGACCCAGTAACTGTGTCTCTCTCCTTCTCTGTGCAATCAGGGAGTTAGGGATGGCAGAGAAGAGGAGGAGAGGAGGAAGAGGAAGAGAATAAAGAAGGAGAGGGGTAGAGGAGGAACCCGCTGGAAAGAAGACTAAAACAAAAAGGAGGAGTCGTTGGAAACTGGGAGAAAGCACACACTGGTACCAGCCAGAGCTTCTTGGAACAGCTCCCAGTCTGGCTGCCAAAGAGCTCTGGAATATATTTGTTAGAGCTGGATTCCTGTACAGTCCGTTGCAGACTTTTTCTGATTGCACTCTGACAAAGAGACCTATACTTTAGTTCCAATCCCTGCTTCCCACACAGAAAGCTAGCTCGTTCTCAGGGGGCCTCCAACTAAGCTCACTATTGACCTCTTAGTAGGATCTTCACGTGAATTTAGAAAGGAATAAAAATCCACCACATACCTTACTCCTGCAGAATCACTCTCTACCCCAGGTTCCCATCCCAACTTCCCAAACCCCTTTTTACAAAACACTTTAAGCTTTTTGAGTCTCCTTACCAAAACAACTGCTGCGGTGAGGAACAAAGGTTTTACAGGCTGTAGCAATAGCCAGCTCAGCAGAGATTATAGTCTTAATGATCAGGTCTTCTACATGGGCCATCAACGCTACAAAAAAAAGAAGAAGAAGAAGGAAGAGGAGGAGGAGGAGAAGGAGGAGGAGGAGGAGGAACACCACAATGCATGGATTAGAAAGACTGGATTCCAAAACACAATCCTATATAATAAAAGCCCAGCAACCAACCAGAAAGACCACTCAACCAGTCTCTATGATATGCACTGACCACCAGGAGGCAGATGCTCAGTGCAGGAGCTGCCCCCTGGTGGTCAGTGTGCTCCCATAGCGAGAGCAGCCACTCAGAGGGCAGTCCACAGCGGAGCAGCACTCTCACAGCGGGCTGATCCCCACAGGCCATGCCCCCCACCAGTGCATGAATCCCGTGCACTGGGCCTCTAGTCTAATATAAAAGCATGTGTGCTCATTCAAAAAAAGTCTCTATATAACAATCATGTGAATGGATGCTCCAGAAGAAGGCATATCTGTGAATAGAGGAACACAGTCAAAATGGTGGTTGCCTATGACAACAGACAAGACAGAATGGAGAAGGAGCGTTTCTCCCCTTCTCACTCCTCCATCACCTTCCCTGTGTGGACTGAGATAGGCCTTGTTGCACAATTTCTCATTCTGCTCAAGGCTCAGTATTGGTGTCCATTTTGATTCCAAGCCCCACAATCAAACTTCATATAGTCCATTCTCTAATTTAACAACATGTGTAAGAGAGATTAACTTAGAAAAGTTTGAATTCAAGACCAATATAGAGAAAATTTATTATTTGAAAAGCAGATAGCAAGTAGCCCCACTGGTGTGGCTCAGTGGTTGAGTATAGACACATGAACCAGGAGGCCAGGGTTTGATTCCCAGTGTGGGAACATGCCAGGGCTGCCATATCAATCCCCAGTGGGGAGGAAGGCGTGTGTATGCAGGAAGCAGTTGATCAATGATTCTCTCATCATCGATGTTTTGCTCTCTCCCCTCCTCTAAGATCAAAAAATATATTTTAAAAATAAAAATAAAAACCGACAGTATTTTCGTTAACAGTTCAACATTCACAAAGGTTAAGTTCACTGAATATTAAAGAAGAAAGTTATGTTTTTCGAACTAGAAGAAAAGAGATTCCAGGATCATGGAAAGCATTTCTGCATCTCGTAAAAGACAGGAAAAACTGAGACCAAAACCTAATCACATCAAATGTCTCAGCAACAGTATTACAATTAAAAACTAACTTCTGATGAGATAATGGTAAAGTTATACACAGAAGGGAAGTCAAAAAGAAAAAAGGCCTGGTACTCACCAGTTGTATCTCTGCCTTCTTGTTTTAGATACCTAAGCATAGCGCTCATACTCCATTTGTTCCCATAATCCTCCACTTCTGGATCATCACAACTAAAATAAATTAATAGGTCAAGGTCACATATGCAACTAGGCCTGGAGGTAGAAACAAAAATTTTTACAACTTCTACCTCATCACTTTTCCTTACACTTTTTTGTCACATATCCCTTTACAGCAATTTCTTCCGTTGAAATGAAAATGCGTATAGCCTGCCTTTTTGAGGAGTGTAAGGGAGAAGCAGTCAAGTCTTCCTCAAACAATTATGCATCATAAAAGAAATGTGTGAAATAATATTAACAAGTTGAAGAATGATTCCAAAACATTAATAGTTTGAAATATTTGGGGTGAAAATCTAGCCTTTGATATAAATGTTATGAGGACATAAAACCGCCTCTGATGCCATTTTCAGACCAAAATTGAGCCTGGATGGGTTAGTGAGATACATAGTGGAGCATTTTAATGAGCAAACCAAGTACAGAGTTGCTTTAGCATATGAAGCAAGCTTCCTCCTCTCTGGTGGCAGACATAGCTTTTTAAATGTACCTTTTCATTTACCACTGAAGGAAAGGGAGAATGCACTAGAGCACATGTGTCAAACACAAGGCCCGCGGGCCAAATCCGTCCCGCCAGGCCTTGCAATGTGGCCCACACCGCGCTGTCATCACTGCACTCCGCTGCGTTTCCATCACAATGACAGTTTAAGACTGTTCAGTAAACCATTCGGCCCGCGATTTAGGCTGGATTTTAGATTTTGGCCCCTTCTCTGATTGAGTTCGACACCCCTACACTAGAGCAACAATAAAAGTGATGCAGTATACCTCCACAAAGAAGCAGGATGGCAAACGGGCAGACTCCCGTGACTGGTGGAAAGGTCTTGCCATCTGGAACGTGTGTGTTGCCACTGCCCACTCATTGCCTATCAATGCCCCACCACCACCAGTTACTTATTTGCTCATTTTCCAAAATGAAGGCGATTTCTTCAACCAATTCCTAATACTGTCCACAGGATACCCAATGCAATCTACATAGCTCAGCAACCATTCAGATCCGTCCCTTTCTCTGCTTCCTTCTCTTTCTTTCTTTCTTTCTTTCTTTCTTTCTTTCTTTCTTTCTTTCTTTCCTTGAGCTTTGTAGGCACCTATTTTTAGTCTGAGTAGAAAGTAACTATTTGGTGTGTTTTTTTATTTTTCCACTTTCTGGCAAAATTATCAGAATTAAAGAAAACAGAGCAGAAAGAATATTTCCACACAGCTGGGCTGGTATTCCCTTCCACTGAATCCTTTTCTGAGATGGCCTCGTTTCTTTATTTAATTTATTCCAAAATTTTTCCCTTTTGATCATATAAGTATTTATTTTAGAAAAATGTAGAAAGTACATAAAAGCTCTGAGGGGAAAAAAATAGAAATCGCCCACCCATAATTCCATCCACTACAGTTAACTTTTAACATTTTTGTGTCTATCTTTCTAGTTTCCTTCCCCCCTCCAGCACAAATAAACAGCTTTAGTTATCTTATATATTCAAAAAAGGAACTGATTGCATGCAGTGTCTGGTAACCTGCTGTTTCCACCTGACAATGCATAGAGACAAACATTTGTGTCTCTGATCTTGTGTGCACATCCTTCGTTACTCCTTAAGGTTAAATTCCTAGAAATGGAATTGCTGAGTCAAAGGGCACAAGTGTTTTTAAAACCTTTGATACATTTTATCAAATGCTGAAATGAACTCATTTCTTGATTTCTAGAAAGTTTCACATGCGCATGAAATTTCCACTCTAAGCCAAAGTGAGGGAAGACAATGAATGAGGAAGATGAAACTTGAGAAAGCATATTTTGGTAGAGAAGGTGACTCTGTAACTGTGTAAGCAATGGAGAAGCAACAGCAGATATGCCTCAGAACTAGGGTAAGTGACTTAGCTTTTCACATGTTACATGGACATAAACATAATGTTTGCCTCCAGGGCAACAAGTTGACTGCTGATTCCACAGCACCCACATTTGAGACTGACTTCTCCAGCTCCTGGCTCTGGCGCAACCAATACCTGACATAGTCTCCGCTCTTCTTATTCACGCTGTAATTTGTCAGGTGCATGAACTGGTTCCGAATGTTTTTGGCTCCTTGATCATATCGCACAGTTGCAAACCTGATAGAAAGGGATACAGGTTAAATGCCAGGAACAGGGTTTCAAGAAAATAAAGCCTAGAACACAGGAACAAGAAGATTTCAACAAAAAAAGGGTGACACCATTCCTAAATGCTGAGTGCCAACATCCATGCTAAGTGTTTCATATATAGTATCGTATTTAACTCAATCCTTGTTGCCTCCCAATTGGGGATCGAACCCACAAACTAGGTATGTGCCCTGACTGGGAACTGAACCTGCAACCTTTTGGTGTATGGCATGACACTCTAACCAACTGAACCACCCAGCCCAGGCAATATTATATCTAATTTTTAAAAATATGTATCAAAACTACAATAAAATGTGATCTAGAAAAATTAAATAATTTATACCAAATCACACTGACTCAAAAACCCATGTTTTTAACTACAAGATGCTGTTTCTCTTCTATAGAACCTTAGGAGGGATAAAAGATGAAAACAGTTATTCACAGCCTGGGAAATTGTGTGTAGGATACTGTGGAGGTTGAGGCATTAGCTGGTCAAGAAATACCTAGTGAGTGCCCACAGAGTCTATGGAAAATATTAAGCAAAAAGAATAAAAGGACAGCATAATAATATATAGACTTAGAACTCATCTCCAAAGAAACAACAGAGCTGATCTATAAAGTTCATTTTAAGGAAATAATAATGTCGGCATCAATAGCAGACAAAGCCCATGTCTGCAGAATAGCATCAATATGAGCCCAGTGCAGGAGACTAATTCCTGAATTTGGAATGAAAGCAAAAGACAGAGAAATTAAACATGGAGTCCACTGAAAACAGGGCAGCAATTTGATATCCTGGACTTCTGTCAAAAGAAGACCAAAACGAAGTATACGTGCCTCTGAAGGAAATAACCAGGAAGGAGAAAACTTCCCAGTGATGCCCAACATCAACAAAAGGACACTTGAGTCGAATGGTTATGGTAAATATCAATGCCTGTTTACATACCACCACAACCATATCACCCTTCACTAAAGTGGTTTTCCCAAGAGGCTCATCCAAGTGTGTAGAAAAAAAAATCCTCCAAGTCCATGCGTTTATTTTCATATGCTTCACAAATTATTTACATATGCTCACTCAGACTATGAAGTCAATATGAATTTTTACCACATTAAAGGTCAGCGTTTTAAAACTGTCCTTTTCTCTATTTCTTCTCACCCACCCATCCAATATATCCACCTCCTAGTTCCCTGTACTAGAAATATATGAGCCAAAGAAACAGAAGTGTAAAAACAACAACAGAAAAACCTAGGAAATGAAAATAAAACCAACATGAGGCCAGGAAGAAGGATGTGGACAAAGAGAAAATGCTAGCTAGGCATGAATGGCTAAGGCACAAGAGGTTGATGAGTACTAAGTCTATACAGAGAGGAAGCTCAAATTTCCCAGATACCACCAGTAGTTAGCACCTAACGTCGAGCCGTGTCACTCCATGGTGAATAAACCTTGCCTTTATTTACCAAGCGACCTTCAGCAGACTTTATCTGAGCAACTGGGAGACAGTCATTCTCTGAATTCCTGTAAGATGCAAAGGGGGGTCCATGCTGACCCCACAGAAGCTGCCTACCTCCCCTGGACATCACCTCCTGCCACCATCTCCCCCAAAAGAATAATGATTTCAATGAAGGGAAAAGGCTATGCTTCAGAGAAGAAAGGTTTTCATCTCTCCTAAATATGAGTACTGATCAAACTGGGCCAACAACATGAAAAGATTGGCACAATCCTGGTGATTAACTGAAACCCAACACATGTCATTCCTACACTCCTTTTTTCAATAGGACTCTTTTTTCTTTCTAATCTTTCTTTTTGCTAGGGAATTTATATTCTGAACCCCAGCATAAGATTATTAATGTCAGAGTGGGTTTTTGTAGAGATGAAGAAGTGGCAAGAAGTAAAAATTAGAGAAAACAAAAAATGTAATCTCTATGGAAAAGTTACTCAAAAGGACAAAAGTGCTACCTTCTTCATTTCACTTAGCCTGATGGGACATGTAGAAGACCGGACAGAAGGAAGGTAGATGTACATGCTCACCTTTCCCCCTAACCCAAAAAGATCTTACGGTTCTCTCTAAAATCCAGGTTACAGACCACATCCATCTCTGATCACCACTTGAAACTTTTCCTTCTTATCTGGTCCCATTAGTTTCAGATCTGGCACAAGAATCAAGTTCTGATTCACCTATGAAGGGTTTTCTTTGTTTTGTTTTTCGATTATTTGGCCAACTATTAAAAACCAGACCTTCCTTCCTGTAGCCTAGTGACAACCACAGCTCACAAGAGGAAGATGGTGAGCAGGATGGGAAGGCAGCTGAGAGGTAGTACCAAGAGGTTATGTAAGCAGAGTAACCCAGCTGGCCCATAGGGTTCAAATCTGACACAAGGAGGGCATCAGAGTGGGACAGAAACCAGGGAGGTCAGGAGACTGGCTAAATACAAGGGAATTGCATAAATAAATTTGTTGAAGAGAATAGGAGTCATATTTCACATTGTTGGAGAGATTTTTTTAAAAAGAAAAGGGAAAAAAGCTAGAAAGAATCTTGTTCTGAACTAGAATTGGAGGTATTATAGTATAAACTCATGCTTTTCAATACCAGAATATGGCAAAAGTAGGTTTATAGTTGTTAGTATGAAAACAATACAATAATTAATAAATAATAATAGAAGAATAAACTGTGTTTCACATACTCACAACTGTAAACTACTTTTATCTCCCCCTGTATACAGATAAGAGACACAGATGTGGAAATAGATACTATGTAAATGTGTATGTATATGTACCTGAATGTATACATATTCTTATTTTCTAGGTTTGTCCATTGCAAGGACCTGAGAGCAGAGACAGCCCAGAGCAATGAGCATATCTAGCACCCAGATGATGACTCCTGAATTCTATTCTCCATTAAAAGCCACCAGTGCTGCCCTGGTGGTGTGGCTGTTGGTTGGGGGTTGTCCCAAGCACCACAAGGTTGCTGGTTTGATTCCTAGTCAGGGCACATGCCCAGGTTGCAGGCTCAATCAATCCCCAGTGGCGAAGGGTGTGTGAGCAGGAGGCAGCCAGTTAATGTTCTGCTCTCACATCGACGCTTTTCTCTCTCTTTCTCCCTCTCTCTTCCTCTCTCTCTAAAAATCAGTTTTTAAATCTTAAAAAATTAGGGCAACCAATGCTCCTTAGAAAATATGGTTGATTCCAGGACTGGGACAAAGAACAAGATGAGCTTGAAACATTTTGTGCTAGAGAATAAGGGAACATGTCAAAATAACACAAAAGCCAGTTTAAAAGGGTCCCCATTGTCCAAATCTGGGGCAATTTGAGCTTCAAAATAAATCATAACAGTAAAGAATTATAACCCATTAAATAAAATAGGGATCCTTGAGTCCACATTGGTATATATAAATAAATGGAAAGAGGAGAAAGCTCTTTCTTGGAGTGAAATACTAAACAATAAACGTTAAAAAAAATGATGGAGAAAGTCATTTAGCCACCATCATAGTAATAATTCATTCAGGCAAGAAGCATAAATGGATGTGAAAATGAGATGAGGAATAAGATTCTACATGCTCTCAAAGTATTTACTCAAAATGTATGGTATTTATTAATTACAGAGGGAGAAACAAGTTAAATTTATAGTAGAGAAATCTGGCAGGTACCATTTTAATCATGTGGTCAAATACCACTAAATAGTTATCATGTGTTATCAGACATAATGCAGTGAGAATACAGCATCACTATTGTGGCATTCTGGCCAAAAATACATAATCTGAGTCTAATCATAAGAAAATATCAGACAAACCCAAATTGAGAGACATTCTACAAAATGACTAGCCTGTAATCTTCAAAAAACACTAAGGTCATGAAAATCAAAGAAAGACTGAGGAACTGTTCCAACCTAAAGGAGATGAAAGAGACATGACAACTAAATACAACATGTGATCCCAGATTGGATCCTTTTGTTAAAAAGAACATTACTATGACAATTAAAAATTCTGAATGTGGACTCTAAATGAAAAGATAAAAGGCTATTCTTCATAATAATTTTACAGCTTTTGTATAAGTTTGAAACAATTTCAAAATTAAAAACCTACAATCAAAGGTATGTTTCTCAATAAAAAATATAGATTTTTCAGCTACTGTTAAAAACACACATAAAAGATCTGGCAATACCACTACCTCTCTTAGTCCTTTGGGGCTCCTATAACAAATACCATATACGGTGTAGCTTATAAACAACAGGAAGTTACTTCTCACAGCTCTAGAGGCTGGAAGTCCAAGATCTAGAGGCTGGAGGTCCAAGACCTTCCTGCTGGGTCCTCAGATGATGGAAAGGGTGAGCAATCTCTCTGGGGTCTTTTTGTAAAAGGGCACTAATCACATTCATGAGGGCTCCACCCTCATGACCTAATCACCTCCCAAGGTCTCACCTCCTAATCCCATCACCTTGAGGGATAGGATTTCAACCTATGAGTTTGGGGGACACAAATATTCAGAAAAATTCATGAATCAAGAGAAAGCTGAGACTCAGAAGGGCAGCAATAGAAGAATTAGGAAAGCTTACTAAGAGCAAAGATATGTCATTGGAAACCAAGACTAAGATCATCCACACCTTTGCATTCCCAATTATCAATACTATGTACGAATGCAAAACTGGATAGTGAAGGTTACTAGGGGGGGGAAATGATTCATCAGAAATATGGTGTTGAAGGAGAGCTCTATGAATACCCCGGATTGTTAGAAAGACAAACAAGTGGGTCCTAGAGCAAATTAAGCCTGAAACATTGCTGGAGGCAAAAATGGCAAAACTGAAGTTGTCCTACTTCGGGCATATCTTGAGCAGGCAGGGTTCTTTGAAAAAGATAGCAATGCTGGAAATAGAAGGCAGCAAGAAAAGAGGAAGGGCAAACATGAGCTGAACTGATTCTGTGAAAGAAGCCGTGGACATGAGGCTACAGAGGCGGAGCAGGGCTGCTGAGGACAGGATGTT